TTTATTTTTGGGACAGAGAGAGACAGAGCATGAACGGGGGAGGAGCAGAGAGAGAGGGAGACACAGAATCGGAAACAGGCTCCAGGCTCTGAGCCATCAGCCCAGAGCCTGATGCGGGGCTCGAACTCACGGACCGCGAGATCGTGACCTGGCTGAAGTCGGACGCCTAACCGACTGCGCCACCCAGGCGCCCCCTTTCTTACTTTTTTCTAAAAATAAATACAGTACAGTATTGCAAATGTATTTTCTCTTCCTTTTGATTTTCTTAATAATATTTTCTTTTTTGTAGTTTATTTAAGAGTATAGTATATAGTACCATATATCATATGAAAATATGTGTTACTTGACTGTTTATATTATCAGTAAGGCTTCCAGTCAACTAGGCTATTAGTAAAGTTTTTGAGGGGTCAAAAGTTATGTGTGGATTTTCAACTGCCCCAGGGGGTCAGCACCCCTAACCCCTATACTGGTTCAAGGGTCAACTGTATATTATTTTTTTAAAATAATATTTGATAACCTGATGGGATTGTTTGCTATTTTGTGGGTACCTTTCTATTTTACCTCCTTTTTTCTTTTAAAAAATGTAGTTCATTTTTTTTTTAAGATTGTAAAAATATAGTTCATTATCATATTTCAGACAGTACAGAAATATACACATCTCTGTATATATGAAGTGAAAGGTCCATGTGGTGACAGCTGCTGGAGGACCAGCAGCTGGTCCCAGACATCCCCCTGCCCCCCATTTGGAGTGTGCTTAAACAGTTTGTAAAGGTCCCAAATTTAAATGGAATATTAGGCCCATGAAATGCAGTGGATATACTCAGCCCTAGCGCCCCCTTTAGGAGGTGGTGAATATAGGTACAGTTGGTACAGTTCTTTTTTTTTTTTTAAATGATTTTATTTATTTTTGAGAGAGAGAGAGAGTACAAGTGGGGGAAGGGCAGAGAGAGAGGGAGACACAGAATCCAAAGCAGGCTCCAGGCTCTGAGCTTGTTGGCACAGAGCCCGACACGGGGGAGGGGGGGGCCTCGAACTCCTGAGCCATGAGATCATGACCTGAGCCGAAGTCTGAGGCTAAACCAACTGAGCCACCCAGAGCCCCTAGGTACATTTCTTTATATCTGAATCTCCATACAACACATAGTCCCACCCTTTTGGTTCCTTGTTGTCGCCCTTCGGTGCCCTGAGGAGACTTGGTTTAATACACCTTCACATGCTAGTCAACAAGAGTGTCATCGGCTGGGCACCTGGCTCTGTGCCGGCACCCTCAGGCCCATCATTTCCTCTTTACTGTACTCTGAGAGGGAGGGACTAGCAGTTGGTGGATGAGAAAATGGAGCCTTAGAAAAGTTCAGTGACTTGTTCATGGCCGCACGGAGCTGGGCCTCAAGCCCAGCAGGAGCCCTCCACCCTCATACTAGACTGTGGTTCTCTCCCGGTGAGGAGCGTCCAGATGCCCTGGGGTTCTTGTCCGTGATGCAAGTGGCCAGTCCCCCGGAACCACCCAACGAGAGGCTCCAGGCAGCCGGGGGTGTGTGCCCCAGGAGTAGGCGCCCAGGTCACGCTGATGCCCAGGGTGCGAGGACCAGTGTGCTCTCAGATGCTGGTTTCTCAAGTGGGTGTGCTCCAAGTGATCTGTTTAACACCTGATCGTTTTACACTTCCCACTGTAGCGTTCTCTGTGTAATATAATTGTGCAGGAACGCACATGTGCAATGGAAAAGTTAATGTGCAGATACTGAGGATGATCTGTTTAAAACTTGTTCAGCTATGTACTGTATCGGCTGACTAGCTTGGGTGCTGGCACTGTGCCGGGCACCGGAGGGAGGGGCAGAGATGGGTGAATCAGAAGAGATGCTTGCTCTCGTGTGGGAGTCTCAGGCACACTGCTTTTAGGGGGAGTAGCTTCTTCCCAGCTTGACCGGTGCTGGAGGTGGGAGGGCAGCCCTGGGAGCGCCTTTGCTGGGCCTTCCCCTGGGACCCCGGTTGCCCAGCAGCTCAGCCGAGGACTTGAGGCAGAGGCGGTGGCTGGGGAATTAGCGTATATCCAGAGCGGTTCCTCTAGTGAGGGCAGAGTGGCTTTGGGGCGCTCTTCACTGTGGGTAACTTGAACTGTGTTTTGGGCATGGTGTGTAGCTGTAGAGCAGCATCTCTGGGGTCGGGGTCTCACTGTTATCCCCATGCTGCAGAAGGGACCAGAGGCTCCGAGAGGCTGAGGGGCCGGCTACTCCAGTGTGTCTTGAGATCCGGTACTGGTACCACCTGGGAGCTGGTTTGGATTGCACAATCCTGGGCCCCACCCCAGACCTTCCGAATCTGAATCTCCCTTTCAACAAGATCCGCAGGAGATTCCTGTCCATGTTAAAGGCTGAGAAGTGCCTTTTTAGTGCCCAGAGCCACATGGCTGTTCTGTAGAGCTGAGCTAGGAACCCAGGTCAACTTGACTCTCCACATTCAGATTCTTTTTGTTTGTTTGTTTTTGTTTTTAAAGTTTATTTATTTTAAGAGAGGGAGAGAACAAGCGGGGAGGGGGGAGAGAGAGAATCCCAAGCAGGCTCCGAACTGCCAGTGCGGAGTCTGATGCAGGGCTCGAACTCACGAACCGTGAGATCGTGACCTGAGCCGAAGTCAAGAGTCAGGCGCTTAACCCACTGAGCCACCCAGGCGCCCTCGAACTCGGATTCTTAACCCCCGTAGTAAGCCGTCTGCCCTAGGAATTATTGACATCCGTACTATTTTAATCTTCAGGGATACGCTTTTTGAACTTTAAAGTAGTAGCAGGTGCTAATGGTTGCTATTGATTAAGTACTGACCTTGACCTACACCAAACCCCTGACCTACGTTACTTTGTTTACTCCTTGCAACAGCCCTAGGAGGGAAATACTGTAATTCCCATTTTGTAGATGTGAAAATCGAGCATAGTGAAATGATAGGATTTGCCTGAGGGCACACGGCTAGCAAGAGTTAGAGCTGGGATTTGAACTCTGGCAGCCTGACTCCAGGGTTCCCTCTGCGCCAGAGTAAGGGGTTGGGGGGGGGGCGGGGAGCTAGGTTGTGGCCGTGAACTTGAGGTGAGCAGCCGAGCTTGATTGTTCCCATGTTGACTGCATTGATGCCCTGGGTGTCAGTCACGTGAGGGCAGGACCTCGGGGTTTGGCTGTGGCTTCGGGGTGGGAGTTGGGGCTGGCTCCCCTTTGCAGCCTGAGGGCTCCGGGATGGATGATACAGTAGCTCTTGCCCTCTCTTTTGTGGGAGATAGTGTAGGTAAAGTGCTTAGCACAGTATGTGATCATAATAGGGTCTCAAAAAATTATTATTGATTTTAAAGATTCAAAAAACATTTTATCTGAGGGCCATGAGTAACCCATGTGCCCATATGCTTCCAGCCTGAAGCCTTCATCTGGGTCCCTGGGTTCCCCAAACTCTGGATGACATGTCGTGGGGAGGGGGCACTGCCCATCTGGTTGCCACGAGGGGACTGGGGTGACTGATAAGACCCAGTCTGGGGTCTGGGGTTGATTAGGCCTCTGGGGCTTTGGGGACACCCTGGTAACTTGGGCAGGGTCACCATGGTCTTTATTTGTATCCAAACAGCTGGGCTGTAAGCTGATTGTGGGTAATTCCCCCCAGTTTGTGGGTGGAGAGACCTTTTAGGCCCATAAAGGAGTCGTGTCCTCTGTGGTGTCACACTGCAGAGAGGCAGAGATGGGTTTGGACCCAAGACACTGGTGTCCCAGCTGCTCTTCCCTCGCTGGGGGGCTGGGAGGGCAGGGCCACCCCGGTTTGGAGGGCCTAGGGAAGAGGGTAGACAGTTGCCTATGGGTGTGTGTGCTGTTTCTGGGACAGGAGGGCAGAGGGGGTGAGATCTGAAGGAGTGCGGGGCTGCTCCCTAGGGTCTCACCGCACCCTCTTCTCCTGTTCCAGGGTTACCACAGGTCAAACCACTTCATAGCCACTCAAGGTACCTGCACCTCTGCCCGTGTGCCCCCGTGTGCTGAATGCCCTCTGCCGCCTTTCTGCCTTCGCTCTGATCTGCTTGACTCCCCGTCTGCTCCCTGCTGTCTCTCTACTGTCTGAGCCCCACTGTCTGGTTGGGTCTTCTGGAATCCGGCCACCAGTCTCTGCCCCTCTTTGTGTTTGTGTCTCCCCTACATGCTCGGCGCATGTCTGTCCATCTGTCTGTCTTTGAGGTGGTGCATGCAGAAGAGGGGAGCCAGGCTCAGTCCTGATGAGTGTGGATTGTGCCTTTCGGTGGGGGGTGGGGTGGGGTGGGCGGTTCCTGGGACCCGCTGGCTGTCTTCCCCCCTGCCCCCGCCAACCATTTACTTGTCCATCCCTCCGGGAGACTTGCCCTATAGACCAAGGATCTAGCCCTCCAGCTCTGCCCCCTGGGTTTCACTCAGGATGATTGGGGTCTCCAGCCAGGCCCTCTCTGATGCTCTCAGGGCCCTCCAGGCACAAATTGGCATTGGGTGGGGTGGGCGTGGAATGAGCACGAAGCCCTCCATGGGGCTCGGGAGACTCCTGGCCTGGGGTGGTGGTGCCGGGCAGCAGGTGTGCTGGCCCTGGGTGGAGACCTTGCCTCAGGGACTAGCACCCTCTGCGCCCCAGGGCCGAAGCCCGAGATGGTCTACGACTTCTGGCGCATGGTGTGGCAGGAGCACTGTTCCAGCATTGTCATGATCACCAAGCTGGTGGAGGTGGGCAGGGTAAGCAGGGCCTTGGGGTGAGGGGGTAAGGCGGGCCAAGGGGGGCAGCGAAGA